GTCAAATCTGAATAGCCTAGCTCTGAGACTCAGCTAGTGCCCTAAACTTAAGCATCTGTTATCTGTTGTATTTAAACCGTGAAAGAGATGGAGGTGGATGGTATTAACAGTGCTTTCTAGGAGGTTAGAAGACTTTTCTCATACTTTCTTTTTTTCTGTGGTTCACATTATATGTTCCATGAGATGCTGTGGGACTTCATGCTGAGCTGTCATTATTTTTAATGAAAGATGAAATTCTGAGACAGAGCAAGAGTCAACAAAAGCAATGGCACTCCATTTCTGGTTTGGGAAAAAAATCTGGGCTCTTCAGTGTTCAGCTTTTTAAGTTACAATTAGGAATTTGCTTAAGCAAATCTGAAATTGTGGTGGATATTTCTGGTGTTGAAAATATAGTTTGGCTGCCTTCAGTAAGCCATCAGATATGAACTTCTGTCTTTATTTTAATTAAGGAAAAGCTATAGCTCTTGGTTTGTCATTTTAAGACTAGATACGATGGAATATTTATCATCTCCCTAGAAGAGTTCTACTGATTAGTTACAATGTTTTGTTTCTACCATTTTGTCCAGTTCATCAAGTTTCAGCTTCCTGGAATTGTCTTTTGTTATGCCTGTATCTGCTTGTTTAGGACCCTATGTTAGATATGCTCATTTTGAGAATTTTGTTAGCAACACTTTCTGTTTATAATGTTAAATTGAGTTTCTTGACTCAGTCTTTAGAATCTAAGATTTATTATAAATTTTTATCAAAACTTTTTGAAGCTTTTCCATTCCTTAAATTCATAGATAAGATTTTTTTTTTAATACATTAAATATTTTCATTGTATTTTGTCTTTATGCCAAGATTAGTGCTGACTTTCTTGGTTCCTAAACTTTTGTGCTGAGGATGGGTGTACTTTGTGAGTTAGTAGCTTTTGTAGTCTATTTTTATGGAGGCTTTCTGTAGAGTTTCCTGCCAGTGTATATGTTTTTCCTTATTGTTGCTCTGAGAGCCAAAAAAAAAAAAAAAAAGGCACGGATTTCTGAGTCATACTGTAAACTTAAATGGAAATAAAACCTGTGATGTCAACTGCTGCTCTGAAGAATTGATGCAGATATTGATAATGAGGCATAAACAACAGACACAAAACATTGTTAACTTATTTACCTACCAAAAACATACTGCACATGAAGTGTTTAGCAAAATTAAATGTACATCCATTACATCACAAAAATTATTGACAATTGACTGCTTTAATGTATAGAATTTCTGCATGTAGTCAGACCTACTTGCTAAGTGGAAGGCACAAGAAATCCTTTCGTGGATACCTGTTGACTAATTTGCATTAAGAGGTATTTCTCCGTTACCTCTATTAGTATTGGCTTAAATCCTGAATGATTTCATTATCTACGTAAATGCTTAATCTCTTGGAAACCCTGCTAAGCTCTTGCCTTCACTGAAAGCTATGATAATTTGTTGTAGTTATTTCTGTATTTAAATAAATTGTTTTCAGATTCTATGAAATGTTCCTCTGTTTTCCTTTGTAATAATGGAGAAGTACCAATTTCATCCTTTCTATCATGTTATTTTACATTGTTTTGCTGTTTGCTCTTAGTAGTTCCTTCAAGCCATACCAGGTGTGTGTTGGGGCTTTTTTGATGTTATTTTTTTTTTTTTTTCTTTCAGTTTGTTGGTGCAGCCACTGCAATTGTATATTTGTGAAAACTATAATTTGTGCTGCAATTACTCTACTGACATGAAAGATTTCACTTATTCAGAATTGTCATGCATCTTTTTGAAAGGAATATGGAACCATTTGTAAAAGGTTGCAAAATGAAGTGCTGCTTTAGTTCTAGATGTGCTATAGTCTTACTGCATATCTGTAAGAAAACTAGCAAGCCTTTTTAGTTTTTTTTCCCACTGGAAGTCTATTTCATTGCCAGTATGTATTTTCTGTTGTTTTAGAGGAAAAAAGTGCCATCATACCAACTCTGGAAAATGCAGAATATTTCTTTTGGAATCTCACAATAAAGTTGAAAATAAGCTGAACAAGCAGTTCAGTGCTCTTGTCCTCTCCAGAATGCTGACTGCTTGGTCAATAGGGAGGATGTAAAAAGTGAAATTAATCAACAGGAAGATAAAATGGTTTCCTGTTAAATATTAAATAAAAAAAAAAAAAAAAAAAAACAAACAACGAAAGCAAAGACAAAAAAACCCCCCACAACCCTCATGTAATATAAAGAGAAGTATATAAGCAGAGAAATAAAGAAGATGGCAATGGAACTGCTTTGAGAATTGCTTCTGCACTCTTGCAGTTGAGTTAATCCAGGAAGTGGAAAAAATTCTTCTGATGTATCTTTAGCCTTTGTGGTCTGTACTGCTACTTACTTGCTACCTTCTTACCAACAAGTTCTTCCAAGTCTCAGGAGGCTTCAGAAAAGATTCTCAAAACAAATATGCAGTGATCTCAATGATGAGGAAGTTTCTCTTTAGAGCCATAATCTGAACTCAGATAAAGCAGCCTGGTAAGGACTTTTCTCCTAGTAGAGAGACTGTTTCCTAGCAGGATCTTATCCTATTTCCACGTCTGTCATTGAATGCTCTTTTGGATGCATGGCTCTGTGCCCACTCCTTCATCTGTTGATGAAGATAGTTGTTTTGGTACTCATAACCTTTGCTAGAAGAGTATGGAGTAGCCAAATCCTTGTGGATAATTGTCCTTATTGCTCCACAGTGAGAATGCACTAAGATAGGATAAGGTGCAATACCAGATGTGGGAAGCCACTCTCTGTGATACGGGCACTTTCTCTGAAAACTGTTTCTGTGGCATTTCTGAAGAAATTCTGTCTTTTGAGATCTGTGAGGAAGCCATCTGGAATGCCATTTACCCTCCTGTAAGATCTGTGCATTTAAACATACTGCTACATTTAGCTACACACTGCTTTAGTCACTGTTTAAAAACAAAGAAGCCTACAAATTTCTAATTAACACGTTTCTAATGAATACATCTTACCATTGTGTAATGCATCATTTCAGAACTACAAAAATAAACCACTGTTGAATGTTGCTAAATTTCATGTAGGTACATTTTCCAATGCTTCTTCAACACCTAGGACTTATGTTTGTCTTGACAAGATGGTAGACAGTTTTGTCTAGGCCTGGCTCTTGCTGTGTGTGGCTGGTCCAGATGGTATCTGAAATTCCTTCCAACCTTTGCTTTTCCATGATTGTACACTGAATTGGCATTCTAATGGCTGTTAGTCTTCCTATAAGCAATGATTAACATGAAAAGATTCCTACAGACATGTAATCACAGTTTCAAGTTGTCATTTAAATGAATCATAGACTATGGAAAATGCACACTTTCTTTCATGAGAATTTTAACAACGTTCTATGAAAATGTTCTTGTATCTTATTTTTTCAGGAGAGTAAGTTCACACGTTCCAAGAACAGCAAGTTGCATTTCTGGACAGTTTGAGAGCACATACATCAGCTAATATGTATAGTAATGATGCAAGTAACTTGCATGGTGAATGTGAATGTTACAGTGAATAAGCATAATGAATCTCAAGTTTGCAGTTTTAGTACCTGTATTTATATTATTTATAATGGAGACTGAAAATAGCACAGCATCTTGTTATTGCCACTTGGTGTTTTAAAAATTTGCTGCTCTGAAATAAAGACTACTAACTGGGCACTACTGTTTAGTCAGATAAGGCCTATCTGCTCTAGAGGCTGATGTTCCTGTGAACATTTGGAACCACTCATAAATTATTAAGGAAGCATGCCATATTCTTGAAAAATCTTTTATTTCTAATTACATGCCAGCCTGCAAAATGCGAACTTTGAATTTCAGCTTCTAAATGAAACGAATTTCTGGCAGAAATTAGGGCTATTTGATAGAGGTAATAAGCCCAGATCATGGGAGACAGATGAAACTTGGTGTGTTACGTACAAAAACAAATCTTCATGCTTCAAATGTAAAATCTTTTGAATTCTACTGGAATACCTAACTGAATTGTAGCTGTCAGTCCTTGTAGTTAGAGATTCATAAAGGTCAGGTGGTAATTACTGTTTTGTAATTACAATTAAAAAAAAAAAAAACAAAAAAAAACCTCAAAAACAACCAACTATGGGATTTCATGGAGAAAGTCTAGACGAAAGGTTTGCCACCTTAAGGATGAAGACAAAACTTTCCAGAGGAAAGTATCAGTAATTCATGTATGCTGACACTATACTGATGTAATGTATTGTCCCTATTCCTTGGTGGAACAGAACAGAGCTTGCTTTCCCTCTGTAGCTTCCAGAAGGTTTTCCACAGTTAGAGCTTATCCCTGAAACAATGGATGTAAGCTCAGATTTTCATTTTCTAGCCTTCTGGGAATGATACTTTGAGCAGCCCACGTGATGTTTGGAGTTCTATATCTTGTTTCAATTGTGAAATGTATACATTATTAGTAAATTAATTAGTAACTAAAAACTATTACCTTCTGCCCTCACAGCTATTATAAATAATCTAAAAGCTTGTGGCAATAGCCTTTTGCCAAAAGCCAAGTGTTCTTCTAATTGAGTTCAAGCATTGAAAGGATTGCATGTACCACTTTTTTTTTTTTTTTTTTGAATGAGAGCAAAATGAATTCATGTCTTTCCTCCTGCAACACTTCTTTTGTTCCCAATTTCTTTGTTACAGCTGTGCACTGGATACAAGGTTGTTGAAGTGTACAATGTTGAACATATGCTGTGGGTACAATTAGTTCCAAAGCCCCTTCCTGCATGATTTCCTTCCCACTCGAACCCCCTCCCCCCAGTTTGCAGTGTTTGGGTTTTGTTTGGGTTTTTTTTTTTTTTTTTTTTTTTGGCTGTGTCAGCATTCCCAAAGCTGCTTATAGTGTCATAGAAGTAAGGGGTGGTGAAGTGGAGAAAAAGTCCTATTACCTCCAGCTCATATGCAATGGTGATAGAAGACTTATTAGGGCCAGTTTAAATATTAAAAAAATAAAACAAAGCATAGTATACACTGGGACTTTCTTATTCAAAACTAGTTTTATTTTTAAAAATAAATTGAATGCATAGCACTCACAAAGATTCCATTGTTTTGGACATTTTGCATTTAGGAGCACCATTCTTATTTATGCTATAGAAAACATTTTGGTTCTAGTAGTAAGAACAGTGTATCTTTAATGTACACTGGTAAAGCCCTTTTAAATAATACATCAAAACTGTTCAGTATACATTTTCTCTGCAGTCACTATGAAGCTGTAGTGTCAGAAAAAAAAAAGACAGACTAAGCAATAAATTAAAAACAAACAGCAAGTAGTGGATTTCTTTACAGTTGACCTAATGTCTTAAAAATTGTCAAATAAAAATATCCTATTAAATGTAAGTTGGTTGTATTAACTAACTGAATAATCCCCCCACCCATTATAATTCCAGTGTTAAGTATTAGTTAAATTTTTATATATCAAATGCCTATGGGATAACTTTACTAATACTCCAAAAAAAAAAAAAAAAAAAAAAAAAAAAAGCCTATACTGATGCATCACAACTAAAGATGATGAGTTAGCTGATGAGATTTTCCAGAAAAGTTTGCTACAGGCATCTGCTGTTACTTCAAGTCATGGTCTATTACAAGACTGTACATTCATAGTATCAGAGGTAGTTCAGAGCACTGAGGACTTGGATATAGCAATGCAACAAAATGAAACTGGTAGAAGGAAGTCCATTTCCCTTTTACATGGGTAACAATGCTGAGTAAAAAGCATGGCATCTTATGAGGTGGAAAATCTCAACTTAATGCTACTTTCAGACAAGGGGAAATATTCATTAATAGATGGAGAGGTGAGGAAAAAGATTTTACACTTAAAAGAAGTAAGAATTGACCCTATGCCTATTTCAAAGCTGATTCTCAACAATAAACTTTTGTTATCCTCCTAAACCCCTCTTGACTTAGACTTTTATGCTACAAAAGCCCTCAACAAAAATTGGGATTTATACAGAAAATAGAACAAAAGGAACAGGATTTATTCTCCTCATCAGTAAATAGATTTTTTTGTAGCATGTCATCATTCAATTCCAGAGAGAATGAATGTATTTGCATTCTCTCCATTCTGAACATAATGGGAAGGCCCTCTCTCCAGTGATAAAGCACTCACCTTAATATTGGTAGCATACCTTAACTGCCCCTATTTTCAAAGTGGTCTTTGTGAGATCCCCAATGGGATGGTACAAGTTTTGTAAGTGTTGCTACTAAGATGAGCAGAAGATGGAGATGGTAAGAGAACAACAACACCAAAAAAGCCTTAAGTTTACAACCTATAAAGATATTTTAAAGTAGTAAGAATCCTGTCATCCAAATTTCCTCCCATATTCTACCACAGGAGAGACTGGTATTTTTTTTTATTTTTTAAGCAGTTTTGCCCTACTATCTTCATTACCATTTTCATCCAAGAGTTGGACAAGCGAAGCTTTCTACTCTCAGACAGCCTGCTCCACAGGAGATAGTGTAATTTCATAAAGTTATGTGATTAACATCTTAATTGTGATAAAGCAGTTCACTCTGCAACACATTTTGACCCACCCATTTAGAAGAGTAGATCTCTGCATTTTCTTCTGGAATTCCCAAACAGAATATAAATTTGCCCCACTATTACCTGAGAATTTCCCTCCACTGTAAGCCTGACACAGATTGGATTTCTATTTGACTGCTTTTTTTTTTTTTTTTTTTTTTTTTGTAGAATTGATACTGTCAGTACAATTGGAGGATGCTTGGTTGTTGTGTGTGCATGTACATGGAGGAATCACAGCCACTGTAACAATCTGGCACAGCACTAGCTTGGATGAAACTTTCTCTTTTCTTCAATCATTAATACCTCACTGCTGGACAGTAGTTCACATCTACATTCTGTGAACACTAATGCATCCCTTTGGTACTTGGTGTGTAGATGCCCTGAAAAAAAGCCACTCCATTTGCTATAATCTCTTCCCTTTCTCCCTCAGGTTATACCCAATTAAGCGTACAAACCAGCAGCGCAAAGTAATGAGTAGAAAATTCCCTGAGTTAGTATGAAAGAGTTACTTTAAACAAAAAGGACAAGGAAAGAAAAAAAGAAGGAAAAACATAGCATCTATCCTGTGGGGTACAAAACTTAAAAAACTAGCCACAATACCAGTTAACTCAAATGCAAATATCTAAAGCAAATATCCAACACAAAAGCAAGAGCATGGAGTTATCAAAATGAAATTTGTTTCTTCCTCTGGTCCCTACATATTTGGAAAAATCTGGCATTCAGTGGATTCTTAAGTTTCAGTAAATTTAAAGTTAATACTGTATGGTGGTATTACATAAATGTCTTCAAAAATAATACTGCGTATCTCCTTCATTAAACAGTAATTCTGTAGTTAGTCCACGGCCATTTTTCTTTTGGCTAATATTTCAAGTATGTGCATTAGAAGCACAGACTGAGTGCCTGAGTAAGAAGTTACTATGCCCAGGTATACACATTCTTTCAGATGTTCCGTGTGCTTAGTTTAAGCAGTCTGTATTTGAGCTCCAGTACTAATTGTCAATCCAGTTGCCTTTTTTTCCTGGAAAGACTTTTTTTTTTTTTTTTTAATACAACTTCCTGCCCTCAAACATATTTGAGGTTAAACAAAAACAAAATAACTCCCCCTCAACGCAACTTCCTGCCCCCCATGAACAAGCACAAGATCAGTTTTGTACTTATCACCTCTCAAAGCAGGGAGTAACACAGGAATATCGTCCATTCACTTGGTAACTGCGGTTGTAGGAGACACTTACACATGGCTTCACTTCTAGAGGAACAGCTAGTGACATGGCAGCACCAGTCTGTACATGGGATCGAGCCTGGACACTAGACTGTAAGGCAGCAGGGCAAGTCTGAAGTGGATAAGATGCTGTGTGATTAGCTGATACTATCTGTTGACAGTTTTGCTGTTGTGATGTCTGATGATGATACTGTAATGAAGACTGATGAGCTTGGAGATACTGTGGTATGTGTGGTTGAACATTAGCCTGATGAGCAGTTGGACCTGGGGTCTGAAATACAGTATGTTGAGCAGACTGAGAGTGTTGTCCTTTTTGCTTATTTGCTTCCTTCACATCATTATCATGTGCACTAAAACAAATGGAGAAGACAGAATACATTAAAATAGATATAAAAGTCATTTGAACTCTTGGATTAACTGAAGAGCAGTAACAAATGCTGTGGTTACCAGAAAGGATTCAAAGCTTAAGAAAAAAATATTTTTTTCTTTTAGTCTGCCCTTTAAAGTTTGTTTCTTTTCAGGATTTCACTTATTTTCCTAGCAATTCTGAACCAAGTTTTAGTGCAATACAAGCAATACAGCAGTATCTAAAATAGTCTCAGTGCAAGAAAGTCTGCTAGTATACTGCAGTTGAGTGCCAGATCATTGAAAGTATACTTACTTGTTGTCTCTGTCTCATTTAAATTTGGTAACAGAGTAGAAGTTTTTCTTCAAAAAACATGATATTCTGTCCTGCTCTGTACTTAAACAGTTTAGTTCACCTGAGTTTCTTTTGATTTATACCTTCCTTAAATGTATTTAGACTTATTCTTTCACATGCTCTTATGCTGAGGTGAAGCAAGCAGGTGCCAGCTGCACACTTCTATTGGACCTTAAGTCAGATAAGGTTTTGGTTCTATATGTACAGGGCTGATCTCTTGAGCTTGGTATGGTTCAGCCCATCAACAGTCTTAATTTAAGAGACTGCAAGCTTTTTATGGTGCACTACAAAAAAGACTGTAAGCTTCCCCTGTCCTCCCATATCAAAGCATTCCAGAGTGATACTGAAAATGCAACACATTTGCGTGCTCTAGGTACCATTCACCTCATTACATTTGTTGCTGAAGAAAATAGAGGTCAAAGGTGATAATGTCAACCTTATTTACAGTTTTGATTCTTCCAGATTCAGAATTTTCTGTACTTTAACAGTGCATAATTGTACTTATATATGGGCAAGAGCAAACCTCTATAGGAGGACAACAATTACTGTGGGCATAGGTTTAGATCTTGAGCTTTGGAATGTAAGAACTAATTTGATACCCTTTCCAAGGTATCAATGTACCCTTACCAGCAAGGTTCAAGTTGGCATTTGCTGGTGTTTTGTGTGATGTCATTTGCATTGCTACATGGTAACACAAAACTAGATGCAACCACCCAGCTGATTTTTCTCTCAGTAAGTTGGCTTTTCAAACAATTCCATGCTTGATCCACAATCTGCCTGGAGCCTCTTTTGAACTTCCAAGGCACAGTCTTAAGAGCAAGCATGAGATCCTGAGCCTCCCATACTCTTTTTTGCCTGTTAATGGACTACAGAGATTGGGAACAAGCTATTTAACAGATTCTCTGAGCACGTTATACCTAAAAATATTACTTAATACATAAGTATATGTAAGTATAAACAGATATTTAAAAAAATCAACACAGTGTTAGAAGCAATTAGGCATACCAACAGTTTGGTACACTGGCCAGAAAAAAGCAGCTATTAACTTACATTAAAAGGCGTTCAATACATGGCACTAGAAAATCCCAGGAATATGCAGTAAGATGATGCAGTCGAGTAGGCCATGTTGGTGAGAGGCGTAAGATAATCCTTGAAGAAGCTACACATGCAGTGGCAACTAAAGAAGGGGCATAATTTAAGAATGCATGATCTAGAATGAAGAGAACATAAAAAAGATTCATTTAAGTTGGACATAATCTGCCAAGACAACAAAGAAGTAATTACAGTAATTACCTGAAATACATAACTCACCTTGCAGCGATACTTCAAGAAAGTAATCAGCATATTTTGCCATGTATAACTTAGTCTTCTCCAAGCAAACCATTGGCCAGCCATCATGAAGATCAGTTTCATGGACAGCAATAGAAAGATAATAGTCGATGAAATGAGCAGCAGTTGGGAGGCACAAATTCCACTGAAATGTTTCTAGCAACAGTAACTCCATATGAAGCAAATTCTGTTTTGTTAGTACCAAATTCATGTTAGTCATACATCCCAAGCTGTTCAGTTGTTCAAGTTTGGGAACACTGTCTTCCTTTTCTTCAAATTTACCTTCAGATGAACAGAAAGAGGGGGAAAAAGGGTTCAGCATGCATGAACTACAAAACACATTGCATCTACTGACTGTTGTTGGTCATATTTCAATTCTAGTACATCAAATAAGCTTTAGACTTTTCCACAAATGCAAAGCTCAAATGGAAGACTTACTTGGAGACATGAAGTAGCATGTACTATAAAGGTCTGAATTTCAGCAGATAATGTCATCGTGCTGGATATCATACAGTGCCATATTTCCTGTTGATCCATCTGCCCATGAACCAGTTACTGTTTGCCAAGTGCAGAAGTAAGCTATGTTATGACATCCGTGGCACTACTTATATTAAGTTTTTGTCACCAAACTACTGTATTATGAAATGATATAGTGAAATACCACTGCCATGGGACCTAATCACTCTCTCTTCCCCACAAACCCTGTTTGGTTTTAGAAATCATTAGAGTACAGCTGCCTCTCTAGTCAATTTATCTGCTCTGTTATTACCTGTTACGCTAGGTGCATTTTTAGATTTGATAGCAGATATGCTGCTCCAGCATTTCAAAGAAGTGGATTTCAGCAATGTACATCTGAAAAACCACATTGCCATATAAACTTAACACTGCTGGTAGCTTCAACCTTCCCTGGACTTTAACTTGTCAGGCCTGTATGCTTTTAGCCTGAAGCAGAATTGTATATGTAGAAAATCCATTAATAAGGGAAACAAGTGTCACATTTCCATACAGTTTGCCATATGGTTGTGCTATTTAAATTTCATTGCAAATTCTTTCCATCTTACACCCACTATTCAGTACTACAGATATGTTGTAAAAGCACATTTTTAGAGACTTTTGCAGGACTGAACATACCAATCGTTTGCTTTCACCCCACTAACAGTGAGAGGTATTTACACAGGAGTTAAGGCCATGCCAGCCCCAGCCTGTTCGTTTTTGTTTTCCACACTTAACTAATTACAGAAATGGAAGCTTTTCAGGACTCACATAATCATTTCTCTTATTACTTCTACAACTTTATCAGGCATAGTGTGATTTGTCTAGCTTACCATACTGTTTGAACAACTTGTTTGAGCCACACAGGACAGAAGTTCAAAGCAGCATTTTGGTTTGTGCTTTCCATACTAAGTCACACAGCGCTTCTCAGAAGAATGTGTACTTCAGGCTCTCATAAGCACTATTTGCAGTTTGTTACAAAGGATAGTAAAAGTGATTAAGAAAAAAAAACCAATAATCCTCTTCAGAACATGAATTTAATTTGAAGATCTGGCATTAGTTCAGAGACTATCCACTTTCTTAAATGGATTATACTGGTTTCTGAGGCCAGGTTTTTAATACTCAGAGCCCCATCCTCTGCCAAAGTGGCTGGTGGTATCCAGTCAAAATTTACCCCCAGAAGAATTCCAAAACAACTCCTTTTATCTTTCAACTGTTCTGTTGAATAGCTGTACTGCTGAAGACAGAGTGCACTGAAAGGAAGCAGTATACCAAAACCAGAAAACCAGAGCACAGAGGTGTTAACTAGCGGACAGGGCCTACAATGTGACATATCTTGTTTGAGAAAATGAAAATAGATTCAGAGAAATGGGTTAGCAGAAACTGAACCAGCAGTCAGCTCTGCTACCAGCACAAAGCTTGGGTGCTTGGTTTAAGAACAATTGCCAGCAAGCATGCTGCAAACTACATTCATATATTATTGGGGACTTGTAAAAAGGCTCCAGAAGTGCATAAAGATGGATACACACCACAGGATTCTAGCTGAGCGCTATATAAGCAGCAGCACAGTTATTAAAGAATGTTTGTAATTAATTCTATCTTCAGAGTACTGTGTAATCGCCAGTGTATTCACCTACATTACATTTTTTATGTGACACAGTACAGGATTTACTTTAGCCTAGGCTTGCACAAAGAACAGCACAGTTTACAAAATCTGAAGTATGCCAGACACATGCAGCACCATCAACAGGCTGCAAAATAGTCTACATATGGTTTATTTCATTTCTTCCTTTATCACAAGTATCTTAATTGTTTTCAGCACTGGATCCACCTATTTTGACATATTCTTCAGAAGGCAGCCTTTCCATTCCTGTAGCTTCCCTCTGAAAAATTCATCTTAGAATAATTCGTATTTCCAAACACAAACACTGGTTTTTAATTGCAATTCACTTTTTCCCCTTTGTATTATCAGGTGCCAACAGAGGTCCAAACAGAAATCTAAAGAAAGGCTTATCATCTGGGCCAAATTTAAGTACGCAAATCTAACCCTCAGTCTTTTATAACCACTTTGTTTCCTCTGCCCCCTGTATCCCCACCAGGTTACTCCCTGCACTTGGCAGAACCACCTGTATTGCTCTCATTCAACTATGGTGCTACATACTTACTTGCTAAAAGTAAACAGGAAAGAGCAACCACATGCAGCTGCTGTATGGATATGTCATAGCGATCCATAAAGAGGTCCAGCAGATACACAGCTAGATGTCGTGCAGCAGGACAGAGTCTGAACCGATTGCTCACAATGGCAATCAGATCTGCAAAGTATCTTCTCAGATGTAACTGGGGAGATTGGCCTTTGTAGGAGGGCAGCTTCAGCTCCTAGATGGACAGCAGCACGCAATTTTATTAAAACCACCATTTAGTGTACACTGGCATCAAACCAACATAGCTGGTATTCTCACATTTATTATGGAACTTGCAAACTATTTATTTCCTCTTCTTTTTGTTCCCCTAGCTTCAGTATCTCTTTTCACAGAGCAAAGATTATTTGTGGTATTACAGAATTAAATATTTTGGTTCTGCATAACATTAGTATAACAGTGTAAGGCTTAACATATTTTCACCAATCAGCTAGAATGACTGCTGATTTTACCTTCTCTACTGCAAAGGCTTCTCCAGCAGGGAAGCACCAGCAATATGCAAGGACTGCTCAGATGCTTCAACACGAAGTCCAATAGCTTAACTCAGCCCTCTCCTGTTGCAGTTTGATCTGAGCAACCAGACTTTGTACCAAAGCTGGTTGTCCTGCAGGTGCCTTTGTGAGGGGGCAATGACAGCTATATCTGAAGCTGGGAACTGGGAAAGAAGCAGGGGGATACCATCTCTTCCTGCATGCACTTCCGACCCTGACTTAACCTGATCTCACTGATGTTGCCCTGACACTGATTACAGCACGCTCTCAGACACTGAGTTAAAGGCACATAAACCTCACACAGCCTGAGATTTGGAGAGGGGGACAACACCAAAGCCCTACCAACACTACAGAGAAGAAAAGCCTTTGGCACTGTATCTGAAATACAAAGTTTGGGCTGGCAGAAGTAGAATCCGAGGGCTCCTGCCTACATCCCCTTGGTGCAGCACAGCAGCTCAGCTGTTGCCTGCTGTCATGCGTACTTTTATGAGTTACATTGTGCGTTGCAGACTAAGTAGGATTTTGACTACAAGTAGATTTCCAGCAGAACAATCCAATGACATCAGGTTAGAACTGAGTAACCCCCAATTTTCCAAGTTTTAGCATCAATTCAAAGTTCCGCAGTGTTTTATAAAATCAGGAAAAAAATTCATCATGACCAAAGCCATTCATACCTACCAAACTTTGGAATTTCACAATCTGACTTAGCTGTAGTAACTCTAACTCTGAGAGCACATACGTTTTTCTCGTGTTTCTCCCCTTCCACAAGTTACTTTGGCAGTCACACCTTTGAGAACGATAATCCTCTCCGCAAATGCCACAAGGCAGCAGAAATAGGCTCAGTCACTATCAACTCGTTTTCCAGTCAAGATGCTCTCTACCACACCAAACCATCCCCAGCAAGCAACTCCCAGTGAGAGCTGAAGCAATTCTGAACAGCCCCTAAATGCTCCCGATGCTGTGCTGGCAGTGCAATAGCATCACCACTCCCCTGACTTTGAGCTCGGAGCCTTTCACACATCTGAGCAAAGTCCTTTTCCTTTTATACCGGACGAACAGAGAACAGCCCAGCGGGGCAGATCAGCTGTCAAGACCGAGGGCAGGCTGAGCACACAGCACCGCGTGTCCCGCTCTAGAGACGCGGCCCGAAGGTCTCAGCCAACGCCGGCACCGACGCCGCTCGCCCCGCTCCACCCCGGCCCCGCGCTGCCCACTCCCGCCGCCCCCCCCCCGGCGGCCCCACCTTGTAGCGCAGCGCCTGGTGGATGTCCGCCGCCAGCTGTCCGGTCCACCACTGCGCCTCCAGCTCCATGGGGGGCGGCGCGGCGCGGCCGGGGCCTGGGCGGAGGGGAGGAAGCGGCGCCGGCTGAGCGCGGGCGGGCGGGATGGGGCGGGCAGCGCCACGCTCGCCCCTTCCCCGCTCGCCCACAGTTAAGCGCGATCAGCTGCCGCTCTCGCCGCGGGGCCCCGAGGCCCCCCGGCCCAGCTGGCCGTCATGCGAGCCGGCGGCACAACTGAGGCTCGTTAAGCCCCGCCGCCGGGCGAGGAGCCCGATCGCGCCCCAACAAAGGGCCGGCGGCGCTCCCCCCTCCCCCACTCACCCTACGCAGCGGCCGCGGCAGGGCCTGGCGCGGGGCACCTGAGCGCGGCGCGGCGTGCCAAGGGCTCCCCTGCCATCACGCGGCGCCGCCCGCCTCACCCATTGTTAAAGGGCCGAGCGGGGCGGCGTGTGTACAAAGCCGGGCAGCGGCCGCCCCGCCACCAATCGCTAGCTGCCTTACAGCGCGGCCCGCCCGCCGGCCACCAATGGGAGCGCGGCGCTCACAGGGGCGCGGCGAGCCCCGCTGTCCGCGGCCACGCGCGGGAAGCCTTTGGGCCCGCGGAGCTGCCGTAGCCACCTCTCGGTAAGGAGCCGGGGGAGGGGCGGAGCCGTTACGCGGGCCCGCCTTGGGGCGGCCTCACTGGGAACGGGTCCCGGCAGCGGGGCGATCCGGGCGCTGAAGTGGGCGGTGTGCGCCTTTCCTGCGGGCCTGCCCACTGAGCGAACGCTCTGAGGGCGTTTGGGCGTTTCGATTCCGCAGCTGTGGGGTTCTTCGTCTTGTGACGTTGGGACGGCTGTATGAAGGAGCTCGGGGCAGCGCGGGGCTCTGCTGAGCCTCGAGCGTGAGGTGTTTGGGAGAGCCAAAAAGTACGCGAAGTTATGTCCCACTGGGTTAAATACCACTAATAAAAGTTATAAAACTTCATATTTACGTGCAGATAGCAAACTTTCACCTGTTACCACTTTTTCTTGTTTTCCCTGGCTCAGCTGTGAGCTTTTCGTTGCCACTTTTTGCTCGTGTCAGTGCTGCACCTCAGGCTGTTAGTGAAGTGGTGAAGGAAACGCACCTTTTGGGCTGCAGAAAGCCGTGACCCTCAAGTGTGGGACTGACCAAATCGAGGAGGAAGGTTTGCAGCTGGATGTGCTCTCACTTAATCCGTGCTCCTGCACCTGAGAGAACGGCCCTCTGCTCTGCTGGGAGTTGTTGCCCAAACGAGCTCCTGCACCTGCTCCAGAAGGGCTTTTTCCACCTGGTTTCCTCTGGTTGGCAACCTGCTCTAGAGGTCTTCCAAAATACTCGGTTCTTTATAGTGGTTTATGTCTTAAAGTTGTTGTCAAATATCCAAACAGACGCCTAACAAGGGTGTTCAACCTGGTACAACAAGTCATGCAAAGTGATGGAGAATAAATGCTTTGGATGCAATTTATGTTGAGGGGGTAGATTTAAATTTATATTTCTGCCTGTGTTTAGACATGATTCTTTTCCTTAATTAAGAAAATAGAAACCAGCTGTTTGACAGAACCAGTTTAATGACTCTGTAACCAAGACTGAAGTAGCCTGTTCCTACACACATATATTTCTGACTTTGGTGGATAATCACATAGATTTCAGTAAAATTCCCTTTTTCTTATGGGGAATGGTGCTGGTATTTGGAAATCTTTGTTTTTAAGGCACATTTTGGTATATCTTGTTCTGTTGTATAGCATAGCTTCCTGAAGAAAAAGAATTTTGAGAGGAAAACTCAATTGTTTGAAACGCAAGTGCATGCTCAAGCTGATTGTAATATTTGCAGAGCAAGTACGCAGTTTTTTTTCAGGAATTATTGATTCCTGAAGAAAGGTAATATAAAATTTGTATTCCAACTCAGCCACAGGTTGCTAATGGGCTTGTGGTCATTGACAGAATCTTTAATCTTTGAAAATGTGTTGTCTGCTTGAGAAAGAGGAAACTAATAAATTCTGATGTGCTGAAACCTGCTGCAATGGGCCCAAACAGGGACGTTTTCACTCTTATGTCTTGGGAGAAATTGCTGTTATTAGCACTGCTGCTTTCCTTAGAGCTTCCTAAAGACTGTGTGGATTAGTCTGTTCCTGAAGTAGTAGGTGGAAAAAAGGACAGATGCATGCTGGCTTCTTTCTCAGTTGTCTGACCTGTGTAGGAAATATTGTGATAAAGCTATGGGCTATTTTATTTGTATGTCTTAATAGGAAAAACACTCACTTGTGGTTACTTGCTGTGCTACAGAGCTGAGCTGTGGAGCTATGCATTTCAGATCCCTGTAATGCTTCATTATTTCAAATTTTGCTAGGCACAAATTACAATGTGTTTCAATTAAATTATTGATCTTGCAAACAGTTACATGTGTGTCTCCTTTTCATGCAGTCAGAAAATAGGTTTGGAAAGAGCCTCACAGTCTTGCCTGAGGCCAGAATTGCTCTGGTCATGCGTTTTTCTGATCTCACAGACAGCAGTAAGGTGAGATCACAATCTCTATGAAGAGTGCGTGACAGTGCTTCATTGTCCTTATGTTGGATAGTTTATTAATGTTTGGTGCATGGGTTAAGCTTTTTACTGCCTATAAACCACAGACACTGAGAACTGATAATTGAAGACTGTGTTGTCATGCCTCTCTTCCATTGTTTCTTTAGCTGCAGTAATCACTGATCATTTTATCTTTCCTTACAGGTCATAATTTCTAAACCTCCAATTGTTATTCTTCTCTGGGCACATCTTGTTTGTTCATGTCCTTCATAAGTGCACAACCTAAGCTGAAATGCCGTGTAGTTAGCTCGAAGGTATTTCTCTTCTGAGGTGGCCTCTGTTCTTTTCCCAGAAAATCATCCCATTGAGAAAGCCAGAGCACTTCTGTACAGCTACATTGTTATCTGCAGGACCTACACATCTCTGCACCTTAACTTTTGACTGGAAGAACTGAGAGTCTTCTTGGAGTTTCCAAATTTTATGAGGTAAGCGAATTTGCTGATTGCTTTCAGAGTCCAGAGCTGTCAAGGTTTAGAGAGTTTAAATGGAAATGGAAATAGTGGTAATGAAATGTGGATAGGTTACTGCAGCTTCTTTGCATGTCTTATGACCTGTCCTAAAAGTGGACAGATCCTAAAAGTTTATCTGGTGCTGATTTTATCTGCTTTTGGTGTTCATTGCTCTAAGTATTCCTGCTTAGTCCTCCTATATGTAAGCCAGGACAGAAGCAGAACAAACTTAGCAAGTTCTTAGAAAAAACAGAGGATATGAATGATTACTTTCATTAGGTATTCATCTGGTAGTAGGGCCTTTGTTGGTAAGAAACTGGAAGTGTGAAGTTTTCTACTTATGTGTAGTATATGGAATCTATGAGAACAGAAAACTGTAGATAAATGTTAGGAAACTATTTTAAAATGCGTGTTCTTTTTCTGTGTATGGCCATGAATCACCTAAGAAAATACTTGTGTCTCAAGGGGAAAGTAGGATTGGATGTGAGAGCTCCTCTATGTGCTTTGAAAAAGTGCTAGGTAACAAGAAACAATGTTATTCTTGGAATTCACCAAGAAAAAAATATGACTTCGAATGATATCCAAAACAGGGTAGAACGGAACCTGTAAAATCTGGACTAAAATGCTTGTAACATTTTTGTGGAATCTTCTAATGGGAAAGCTACTGAAGTCGTAGAATTTATGGACCTGTAATTCACAGATTATAGTCCCAACACAAATTCAGACATGATGGGTGAGCAGACTTGTCTTTATAGTTACTGGGAGGTTCTGTATGTCAAGAGCTGATACATATATTTCTGTTTAAGCTACTTTTCTCTCTACATTTTTGGTGGTTCTCATTGGCCTCTGGAAAAAGAAACATCTTTTAAAATACAAATTGAGAAATTGCAAGTAATTGCCAAGTACAGCAAATACTCTGATCTTGAGAACAGCAGTCTCTCTACATTAGAAACGTAATCCTCCTCCTAATATAGAAGGATCCATTTCTGTACACTGTATTTAATGTTAATGGTACGTTAACCACAGAGTCTAACAGTTTCTAAAGACTGACACATTGTTTTAGTTTTGTGCCTATTGTCTTACATTTGTTTTGATATTTTCATCTGAATAAAAAATTGTAAGGTAGAAACGTTGTTTCTGAAGGGCTGTGTTTCTGAAGTTACAGTATAAGAAAACCTCAGTTTTGTGAAACTTATTAAAAAAAAAAAATATCTTTAAAAAGAAAACTGATCCAAGCCTAGTTCCTGTGTTTCTTAAGGCTGGGAAAGTTAGCTCTGTTTTCACTACTGTGTTTGTTGATCTTATTTTCAAACAAAGGCTGCATTTGATGACATTCATAGCAGTAAAATTTCAGAGCCATTTAATTAAAAGAATGAATCATTCTGAAGACAGGACTGTAGCTGCTCTCGGAGTTCTTTGCAACATGGTGGTAGATGAAATGTAGCACGTCAGTTAAGTTGTAACGCTTCAGAAGCATTAATGTGGGGCTGTCTCCTACTGGAAGTAATCTGTGGCTGTGTTTGTAAATGCCTGTATTGAATGTTAAAGGTACTCTGTGGGTAAGATTTTAAAAGTTGTTTAGGGATTTGGATTCCCAGAACAGCTACTAAAATGTGATTACTGTGTTTGAACATAGCTGATAAATAACCTTTGGAGCTGCTGTCTCTAGTTATTAATACAACTATTAAGAGAAAAGGCACCTGAGAATTCTCTGGCTTGAATGATACATGCTTTTTTGAAGATTTTGATAAGCAGTTTGGCTTTAAATGTTTTCCCATCCTCTGGGAAGCTATTGCAAAAAAAGTGTGTCTGTGAATGTTTTGTTTGGCATTAAGATAAATATGTATGTTTTTGGTAATGTGTTGGGTGAAGAAAACACTCATGTAAGTGAAATAGTGCTGATGGATATAATTTGCACTGAGGGGTTCCTTTTTTTTTTTTTTTTTTTTTTCTCCTGTAAGTCACACACACAGTTTAGGAAATAATAACTATAAAGACCCAAAGATTTTT